TATTTTAATATTTATTCGAAATTTCTTAAGGTAATAAAAAAAAGTAATTTAATCAGCTCAATACAAGTTTACTTCTGCATATGATATGAATATGATTTATCACATACATATATATTGTAGATATTGGAAATTTTCTAAAGTTAAATACAGATGCTATACTGTCCAAAATTAATCCAAACTTGCACTAGTTACACTACACATTAATTTTTAAAAAATGTAATATGAACAAAAAAATGTAAACTCTCATGTAAACACGATTTTCGTTAAAATTTCAAAAAAATAACGTACGAGTATATTACTTACGTATAACGTATTAACGAATTTGGTACTCTAGTCTAAAAATTACTAGTAGGGGCAAATATTAAGAACAACTTTTTAAGATAAAAATTACTAGGAATATAGTGATATTAATTTTTCAAAATCAAAATGTAAAATATTTTACATTTTCCTATAGGAATTTTTTTAAAGTTTTTAAACATAATTATAGCAACATTTAAATAATTTTAAGCATACTTGGATTTTCAAGCATTTTTCATGTGTAATAAAGATTTATCGCACATGCTACGTTTGAAAATTATGTAGTTTTTATATATTGAACATTCTCTATATTAAGATCTAAATTACAACTGAATTTTCGAAATTCCCTTTATATACATATGTATGCATGTATTTTATTGCAAATAAACAAAATAAATTGCCTAGAAGCTGTTAAAAAATCGGTATGTTTTTATGATTTCTCGCAATTTTGATCAAAAACTATTTTTCAATTAATACAACGTAAATATATCACAGAGCATCATAGATGCGTGTACATAATATTTACTTCTATTTATATATGGGATTCTTCAGAAACATCTAACAAAAGTTGTACAATTTTTCAGAACCATAAAAAAGGAAATGTCTATTTAATTTTTGATACCCTGCATATGCTTTACTTTTCAAACAAATTATATTATTTGACATTCGAGCAAATAAAAAATTTGATGCCTTGCATTATTAAGTTCCATTGCACACTTCAATAAGAAAATATTTTGTTTTAATTTATTTTATTTAAAAATTTCTACTTATTTAATAAAAAATTACTTAGTATACTTAGATTTATCCCTTTTGCGTTTTAAAAATTTCGCATATACCAACAACATTAACAAAAGCACTGAAACCAACTAAAATAGAAAATATGCAACGGAAAAATTTTGAATACACTATTTGACAGATATTTCTGTGTTAACAAAGATGCAAACACATCAAATAAATTCTAAACACATGGTTAATTTTTTTTATTGACATTTTAGAAGATGATACAATGTGTCTGAGAAATCGTAGATACAATTCTGAAGATACCAATATTAGGAATATTACAATAACTACTTTAATTCAAGGTTCATGAAAAAATGATACGAAAAAAAAATAAAACTTTAAGTTGCATCACGATGGCATTTTAATTGAGATTTCGAATTTTGTGAAATGAAACGAAAACTTTTCTTTGTTTTGAGTACTTTGCCTTCAGAGTGCGGAAATTTTCATTATTGAATTTATTTCATCCTACATAATTTGCAATCAAAAAACTTTTCCCTTAAGCAGTTCTCTAAATTGTAAAACATTGCTTGTTAACATCGCTATTTAAAATACAGCTATATTCAAATATTTTTGTCAAAGCCATTCCACATAATTAATTTTCATATTCGTAGAAATTTAAACCTACAAAAAGAAATAAAAATTAAACCTCTTTTATCAAAATTTTTAATATATGCTATAGGTATTCTACCTCTCCAAATTATTCCAACAATTTCAACAAAAATTTTATTCAAGCATTTTCTTTATTCCATTCTAAATTAAAGAATCCTTCTTAATATCCATTGAATTAAAATGAAATTTTTTGACTGTTGTTAAAATTTTTTGACGAAAAATTATCAAGTTTCATTATCAAAGGACTAACCACAGCTCAGCCAGGAGATTTATTCAAATGATTTTAAATTTCAATGTAATTTCATAGACAACTTACAGATATTCTTTTTATTTTAAAATTATAAAAAGGATAATAGATATATTTACTTATCACATCTAACATTTTTTTAAATAAATCCACCAGCAACTATATTGCACTGTCATCTATCTTCAATATATTTAATTTAGCTAGAATATAAAAATCTATATTAATTTATAAAGTAAATCTAGTTATGAACAAACAATTATTATGCAACCAGTTAGACAATTTTTTGAAAATTACCAATTTTTTACCACATTTAAGTTTTGATTAAACGAAATGCAATAAACTAAAACGCGTAAAGATCAAAGATTTTATAAAAGAAGAGCATTCTTTGATAACAAAGAGCCTTTCAGAAAAATACACTTAGTTAATATTTTCGTCCTAGTTTTATTTTAAATATTTACTGTATTATAATAGGTAATGATGTATTACACAATTTTATATGTATGTAATATAGGATTTAGTTTGAGTCTTTAAATTTTACATACGTACACATGAATGTGTTTTCAAACCACGTCAAATGAATTTTTTACTTCTTTTTCGAAATTTGGTTACTATAGAATCACAAAATTATTATTAAATTGAAGTTGTTCCATATATTAATTTATGTACCATTCAATTTTTATACCCGTACGAACGTATGTTCGAAGAGTATACTAAATTTGCCTTACCGTTTGTATCCCTAAGAAATAATGGCCTGAGATATACACTCAAGTGTATGTTTTGATCTCAAGTGATCAGCGTCGAATTCTGAGCTGATTTGGCTTTGTCTGTCCGTCCGTCCCAACGATAACGCAAAAACTAATTGAGCTAAGTTCACCAAATTTTCATAAATGATTTATTGTAGTAAGTGCCAGAACTCTATTTAAATTGGACATAATCGGGGTACTGGTTCCGGTAGCTGCCATACAACTTCAAAATTTATTTGGCTATATCTCAAAAACTATAAAAGCTGTGGTATTGAAATTTGGCACAAACAAATATATTAGTAGGGCCAATGTGTTTGATAAATGTGGTTGAAATGGCTCAGCTCTTTCTGGTAGCTGCCATACAACTCCAAAAGTTATTTTACGTTATCTCAGAACTTATTGGAATTATAATATAGGAATCTCGTGAAAACAAGGGGATTAGGACTGAAATTTTGCTTAAATTAATATGGTAATACGGCAACTTGAAGTCATAGTCTGTCCCATAGTCAGCTATGGCATATTTATCCACATATAGGGATTCGCGCGGGTATCACGGAGTTGACACGGTCAACTCTATTTTTTCTCGTTACGATTAAATTCAAAATTTCTAACAATCTTAAAATATAATATTATCCAATAAAGAAACATACAGCTTCAGTTTATATAGAATAGAGCGATTGCTAAAAATTCCTTGTATATACCTTGTAAAGAGAAAAATGTGAATAAAGATAAAGTTACTCGGATATTACATACACATGTATAAATTGAAATTGGAAATATAATATAATAGACAACACAGCGAATGCTTTCTTTTTAATTATTATTTAATTTTTCTAAAACATGCAATTACATACTAAACAATAAACTTCACAATAATTGAAATTAAAAAATCCGTCATGGTAACTACTTAACCAACTGTATTATCTGTTTTCTAGATCATCAATTTATCTATTCTCTGAATTATAATTAAAGGATTATAGGAAGATTCTGAAAATTTATTTTACAGATTAATTTCAAGTTTTAAAAAAGTAAGAAAATATACAACCTCAAAAATATTTAATTTAAAGAAATTCTTTCAATTATTGCTTTGGATGTGGTCAAAATATAAAAATTGCCTTGCTATAATAAATGTCCAGTTTTTAGATCCTGATTCGCTTGGAAAAACTTTTAGTTCTTTTTTGGCCACCATTATATTCATTACATTATCGGACCAATTGCAAAAAAGTAGCGAAACCCAAAAATGTATCAAATCGTCTCATATCAAAACTAAACAAAACTAAACACATATACACACATATAAGCCGAACTTTAATAGCAATGTACAGACGTCTCGTGAAAAGTAGTTGTGATATATTTACATTACATTTCGATGGCATCGCAATACCTTTCTTGTTGTATCGAAAGCAGTCGATAAAAAAAAGTAAATTTCTATTGCAAGAAATTGCGGAAAAAAATGTAAACAAATTTGTTATATTGTATGATTACTTCAAAATTTTAAAAATATGGTAATAAACTCAGCATTTTTTATTTTAAAATCATGAATTCATATTTTATTATATAATATCGCTGAATTTTATAATTGTTTTAATTAGAATAGATAATTTTAAATTATAAACATTACGGTTGAATGAATTTCAAATTTAGCAAATTTAGTTGTTTTGACGACTTTAATTTTGTTTTAATTTGAATAAATTTTTAAAGAATTTTAATTTAACAATTAACAGCATCAACTTCCATATTATGAACGATTTTAGTTTTCCCAATTTCGTGACTGATATTTGATTGATACTCAGTTGAACCCATTACTGAAAAACTGTCGTCTCTCTGAAAAAAAAAAACTCAATTTTTGTTCAAAATTAATATTTTTGTAAAGTAGATAAACTGAAAATTTAATTCATTAAAAAGTAAAATTTAAAATTAAGAATAAAGCAAGTTAATTTTTTAATAAAAAACATAAAATAAAATAATAATTTTTTTATAAACTTTCTCATATTTGTTGAATTATAAAACTCTTTGATAAGCACTTGGGCAGCAGGGGGTAAATGCTGTCTCCTGCGGCACTAGTACTTAGAAAAGAATTTCGAAATAAACTTTATTAGTACGGTGGAGAAATCTGAAACAAAAACATCATATTGATTAAAATATTCAGAAACTTTTTACTTACCATGAATGATTAATTTTTTTTTTCTGTAAAATTTTCAACCTTTTAATGACTTTTTTAATAGCAAATCTGAAGATCTAACGCTTGTTAATCTGTGAAAAAATAATAGGTGATATTAACATATGTACGTGTAAAAAACTTAAAAAAAAAACCACACAAGCAAATCCATCCATTTACAATTGGTAAAGGCAAAAAGAAATATTTGTCAAATAGAAATTTTCATTGCATGACGAGTTCATTATATAAAGATTTCCTTATATCAAAAATATTTTGGCAGATGAAACTTAATTAAATTAGGTTTTTTTGAATAATACCACCCTTTTTTTCGTGTAGTAACTAACTATTCCTACGAATTCAATTTACTATTTTGTGTAGTTTATTAACAAAGTAATTCAAAAAAACAAGGTGCAATTGGAAGTTGAAATCGAATTTTTTAGCGAAACTGTTGTAACCTGAAAACAAAAAAGCAGAATTTCAAATAAATTATAGCAAAGTATAAGTTACTAGAATTTTATCCGTTAATATTTTATACCGTATTTTTAGTTAAAGAAACGTAAATAAGAATATGAGAACTGTTAATTGTATAAATAAAGAAGACCATGTTTGAGTTTCTCTTGCAGAAAATAGAAAATAAAATTCATTTGCTTTTAAGGCAACCCATTTGGGATACCAAATTCAGAGAAAGTAATAAAAGAGCCTTAAATTTTACTTTGGCTGAAAATCTTGAAATCATTTTTTTACATTGTGTTTTTCTTTAGCACTGTCCCTGATTGTTTTATAAAATTTTCTCCAAAATACTATGTTAGTACATGAGTCTAATTTTAACATTTGTATACATGATTCAATTAATATTAGCTTTTTACTCTTTGCCCTTCATTTAAAATTCTAAAAAAAAAAGTAAAATTATTATTATCAAAATTCAAAACAGTTCCAGTTATCATAACTTATGAATAAAAATATAATTAAAATAGGCGCATCTTAAAACCCTAATGCTAAATTATATTTTAAAAGAAACCCAAAATACCTCATACATTTTAGAATATTTCAAGAAAAAAAAAACATTACCGCCGGTTCAATTAAAACTCATTCATATCGTATAAAACCTTTCTTTTTTTAGGTCCTATTATGAACTTACTTGTAATTCAAAAAAAGGCTATAAATTCAATAGCGCAGTACTACTAATTATTGCAATTTCTTGTCGGTATAATAGGAAAGTAAATTACATTTTTGCCAAAAAAAAAAATTATAAAGTTATCAAAAGCAGGAAAATAACAATGAAGAAACCTTGAATTCTATTCATAGTCACCTTCAAAACAAAATCCCATGAAATTTAATTTCTTCCAATTAAATAGTGCACCAAATGTAATTTTTCTTTCATTTTTTTCTTCCTTTTTTTCGACAATTTCAAAAACTCTAATTAACCTCAATTCATATATTCCAATATTTAAATCTTAAATTTCACTTTCTTTCATTAAAGACTCGAAAATGTGTAACAAATTATTTAAATTAAACATGAATTTCTTTCCGGACTTTTTTATTAGAAAGTATAGGATGGTGTGTATTTATGCAAAGTGAATTTAAAAGACATTATGTATTTTTTTTCACTTCTTATAACATCAAAATTTGTATCAGATATGCAAAAAAACAAAAATGTTTACTTTATTAAATATTAAATATTAGAAATTTGGAAATGTCCATGACATTGGCTTACATTTGTTACTTATGAAAGAGTCAATATTTCTGATTAATCTGCATGATTTAGTAATTTCATGTACCGCTTCAAAAATAATGAAGATGTGTAAAGTGGCACAACCATGGCACAACGTATGTTTCTTGAAATATTTTCCTATCGCCGTATGATACGGGACAACCTCCGCAGTTAGAACCATGCCTCATCTAGATAAATACCATAAAAATTTTTATAGAAAGAATCATTAATGACGTCAGTTTTCGCCATATTGGAACAAATAATACGTGATGATAACAGATTAGAAAAACCCATTTACATGATTTTAAATAGCTCTACTCAATATGCGGAGAATATTTCATACTAGCAAACATATAAAGATTATAATTAACGCCATGATTTAATAATTTTCAATGAATCAATTAAAAATTTTCAGAAGAAGTTCTTAAAATTTCGTAGCGTTAATGTTTTTAAAAATGAAAATATTGCATAATACATATAATGATCATTACTTCCGAAAATTGTTCATAATATGGTAACCTATTGGCAGGTTCTATCACAATACCTCTTATAATATTGTGCACAAATGAAATCAAGAATTAATTTTCTTGCGCGTAACTTAAACTATTACATCTTTGAAATTATTGTTAATCTAAAAAAAAATTATTTATATAAATAAATGCTCAATGTAGATCAAAATTCAGTTATAAATATTTTTTTACTTTTAAGTGTAAATTAATTCAAATATCCTCTAGTTGACAGTAAGATTACTTTAAATTTCCTTTTCCTTTTTTCCTATATAGTTTACTTTCAACATTACTATTCTAGCCAAAGATTTCCAGAAACAAAAAATCTACCCAAAACAAAAATGTTCTCTTGGTAATTTCTCTCCTACTTTATGTTCTATTTCCTGCATTTGCTTTAACATTCACCGAAACAAAACATAATGAACCTGCAGAAAAAAGTAAATGTAACTGGAGGTGTAACAATAAAAATCAAAAAAAAAAACGGAAAAACTTATAAAAAATAAAAAAAAATATTCTAAAAATGGCCAAATTCATTGCAATTAAAAATTTTCACTCTTCTTCGTTCCAGTTAATTTTTTTTTTCTTTTTTTTCATTATTTAACTTATTTCCCATTTTTTTTTTTCTTTTGTAAACTTCTCCCTACTGGCTAACTTTTTAATGAAGTTAAAAATGATTTTATTATTTTTTTTTTTTTGCAACTTCTTTACTTCTGAATTTTTAACTATTTGAACTTATATCTACATCTCCAAACATTAATGAAACTATTCAACAACAAAAAAAATAACTATAATAAAAAAAACTATAAAGAATTGAAAGCAGAAGTAGAAAACTCGTAATACCGAATAAAATTCGAATCGATTTGCCCGATTGCATACTTTCAGGTTAATAAAATTTTTAATTTTTTTTAATTTTAACAATTTGTTGGTTTAAAAATGTCTGAGTTCAAGGAGTCTAAAGCAAATATCATAGCTGCATTCGTAAAATTTATCTTGTATTCCCAATAATTACCAAAGTCAGAAATGCATGAATTTTTCTATTTTTCCTGTTCCAAGAACATCATATTTTAATTTTCTATGTTAATATTAAATTGTGCAATTATTATTTAAAATAATTTTACAGTAACAATTTTTTCTAAAAAATTTTCTTTATTTTAATAAACCAGAGCCTTTTGAATTGGGGGCATTAAAAAAATCCATAGGCATATAGTTAAGGACGACATATCAAATAGAATTTTGCTAGAGAGTATATTATTTTCTTATTATTATTTTTATTATTATATATAGAATATATAAACTTGCTTTTAATTTAAAAATATTTTAAATTGTTTGGGGTAATTAATTGTTTTTAAACTCTTGGTATTTTCGGCGAATACTATGACTTTTTAATTTTTTTTTGTGTTTAAGAACTTTTAAATGCTCTGTAATTTATTTCTTGAGTCACACCATAGGACAATGAATCTCTGATCAAATTTGTTGTATACCCAAATATTATACGGTTAAGTAGAAAACTAAGGTCCCATTTATTTCACTTGAATTTATTTGGATGGTTTTTTTTTTGAACTTTTTTTATTAAACATTTATTTTTTTTTTTTTTTTGTTTCAATGTAATTGCAATTATACGTTAAATTTGGTTCATATTCTAAAAAATAAAAAAAAATAAGTTAAAATAATGAAAAAATAGTTACGACTTTTAAAAAATCTCCTTAAAAAATTTTTAGAACAAAGCAATATGAAATTTGTTTCAATTTTTCTAGACGAGTTTTATGTTTTTTTTTTTAACATAATTTTCAACCAAAACTTTTAAAACAAAAGTACAAAATATTTCAAAAAAATCAAGAGAGGAAAATTAATATAGATGAAAATTATGAAATAAAGTTTTTTTTATCACATTTAATCAAAATCAAATTGTAAAGTTAGTCATAAATTAAAAGTTATTGTTATCATTCATATGACATTTAAGTAAAAGAAAAAATTATTTTAAGAAAACGAAAAATGCTAATTGTCTTTTGTGATTCCAATTGTATTTCCTAGCGTCAAATTCAGTTTGGTCTCGATTTTTTACAAAAATTTGGACTACTTTTTCTTATTTTAATTTTGTCAGGATTAAATAATAAGAAATGCAGTTTATATCATTAAAATGAAATTGTTTTTTCCACCAAAATTCAACTATATACATAATAATATGTATATATGTATGTAAACTTTTCAGATTTAAATAAGATACATTTTAAAGGGGAAATAATGCCATATACATATATATATCAGGCCACCAAGCTCAGAGAATAAATCAAAAATAAATTCCGAATTTATATGGAGTTTAAATGGAAAGCGTGTTGGAAATAATTTGTGCGAAGGAAATTGAATAATATTTTTAGCTCTACTGGTTCTATATATTTTTTTAAATTTAAAAATAATATTTAAAAAAAAATTGTATTTTTTAACGTAGCCAACCTTTCCCGTCTTCCAAATGGAAGGGGACTGAATTGAAGTGTATTGAAACAAAAAACAGCCGAAAAAAATTATCATAATCTAGATCGCTTTTATAACTATACAGAGAATACTCAAAAATTTTACAAAAAAATTAAAAACAATTTTCAACGGTTCACACTTCACTTCGAAAACATAAAACATTAAGGATTATTTTTGTAAAATTTTACGATTGCAATATTTCGGAAAATAACTCCAACTTAGTGACCTGATAGATATATAGGGCATGGTAATAATACACATTTCTGTGTATAATTGTCATACTTTTATATATTTTAAGCTAATTGATAACTATACGTATAGAGCGCATACCTTGTAGCTATTATCGTATAAGAAGAAGATATTTCTAAAGTATAAATTTAAAATAAAATTTATGTTATTCAAACTATATTTCGTGTCTGGACTAAATTTTCAATTGTCAATAAATTTTGGAAAATTAATTTAATTATATGTACAAAGTCGAAATAAGCAACTTCTGGAGCAATTTCAAATTTATAAAATACAAAAGAGCCCTAGGGAAATGCGAAATTTTTCTTTAAAAATACGTATAATTTCAGATTAATATAAAAATTATTGAAAATTATAATATGAAACATTTTAAATTATTTTAAACAAAATCCTTTTAAATCATACGCCTATAAGAATTAAACCGAATTAAAGGAAATCTGCAGTTTTTTTTTAGTCAGCTACGGAAATTTTAAATATCAAGTCGAACATATCACTTAAAACAACTATCATTAAAATCTCAATTTGAAATTTAAAGAAAAGCAAAAGTCTTATTTAAAAAGAAGAAAAAAACTTCAATGTTCTCACTTATGTGCAAAAAGTATTTGTCAAAGCCTTTATGACTTTATTTGATTAATATATACGTACGATATTTCAAAGTTTTATAAAGAAAATGTATTTTGAGCATGAAAACCTTACTGATATTTTATTAAATTACGGAATCTTAATTAAATTTTTTCACTTTGTTTTGTGATTTCGAACGTAAAAGGTCGTGTAATTCAAACATTATATCAAAAATATCAAAAAAAAAATTATCAAATGTATTTTAGAATTTTTATTTTTTTTTTTCTGTACTGCTTTTTAGGAGGAATAAATTTGAAATAGTCTCTGGATATTATGAAATTTATTGAAAAGTCTTCAATCTAAGCTTTGCATGAGATTAGCAGGAATGCCGCAGAAATTATACCTATTTGTTTAGCCTATTGTGAGTTTTTTATATTTCAACTCCTTTCTTTATTAAAGTCCTGAATTTCAACAAAAATTTCTTAAAATATTTTAGAAAACCATAATAATATGAGAAAATAATTTAAATAAAATCTAGTTCGCTTCCCTACAGTTTTTCATTATTATAATTAAATTTAGAAAAAATCAGAAGAATTTAGCGAATATTGGAAAAAATCTCTTTTTTTCATGGTCTCTTTATAGAAAAGAGATTTGAGTCTAAAGATTGTAAATTTCTCATATAGAGACCATTTATTCTTTATAAAGCTAACAAATTGACAACGGTATGAATAACATGATTCTATATGAATACTGTAACAGAATCCACAATTTTATTTGGTTCAATACGTTCAGAAAATACCAATATTTAAAAAAATTAAAAGTAATATAATAAATGTTTGAAAAGTTCAAAATTACTTATATCTTTGAATTATATAAAATGCCGGTAACATATACATACTTACAATCAGAAACGGAAAATATGTTTCCACTACAACCATTTTTAAAAATTTCTAATTTTAAAATCATTTTCAAAATGTTAAAATAGGTTTTTTAATTAAAATATTTTATTTTAATTATGAAATACTTATATACATATGTATATATTTTTCTATGTACAGAAAATTATATATTTATACGGTATGAAAAATACCAAATGAAATATTGAAATTCCGCAAAAATTGATTAAAAAACATGATACATCGGTGCAATAACATACAAAATTAAGCCATATCATATGCAATTGCTTATATAGTTTATTATAGATGCAATATAATACGAAATTTGAAAATTTTATTATAAAAGTTCCATATATTCAAAAAGAAAAATTTTCATAGATTTTATTTGAAGTTGGAAAAACTCATACATTTTATGAAACAGTATAGCACCCACATATTTATACATACACGTATGTGTCTGTTATAAGGCGTATACATGTATATAAATGTATATATAAATAAACGTTCATGTAAAAATGTAGATTTGAAATTGAAAAGAATTTTACATTTATTGTACCTGTTATAATATAACACAAAATCACGGTTGTCGGACGTTGTAATTTTTTAATTTATTTAGCAATTATTTTCTCATTAAAAACTGGTATCACAATTAAGAACATTCTAATTAATTCATAAATGTTAAAAAAACAATTACAATTTATTCACAATTTTTCCGTTATTTAAAAGGATATTTCGATTTAAGTTTCTCATTTACAAGACCAGCGTATAATGAATATATGACAGACAAAAGAAAATATTTATGAAGGGCCCTCGAAAAATTCAATTCCCAAAATAAAAGCGAAAATATTCAAAAAACTTTGTAAAAATTTTGTTTTTTTTTTTTTTTAAATGCCAAATTTTGAAAAGCTTTTCTTAGAAGCTTAGAAGAGCAAAATTAGTTATAAGAACAAGAATAAACGCTCATTAATATGTAAGAAAATTATGGTGATGGTGATCTATGTTGAATTAGAACGGCTCTGAAATTACTAATAACTTTTTGTATGAAGGAAAAGTCTGGGACTTGAAAAGTTTCTTGAGCAAATTGCAGTTCGAAAACGAGCATATCACTTGTTCTCATTAACATATGTTAAGTTTTCATATAAATTATTGAACAAATAATTAAGTAATTTTACTATTTTATTAATTAATAAATACTGCAATTTGTAAACCATCCAATGCACCCTATCTTAAAATTTCACTATATATATTTCAGGTGATATTTTGGCCTATTTGTACAAGGATTTTAGTGATCACGTTTGGCAACCTTGAGTGCAATGGTCATTTTATAAAAAGTAGGGATAGTAAAAATATGGTCTTGTTAACAACAATTCATATGGTTAATTTAAATTAAAATTTTTTTCATTTGTAAATAAAAATTTAAGTATAAAAATTTAAATGTAATTTAATTAAATATAAAAAAAGAAAGTCCAATATGATCGCGTAAATATTATTTACAAGCAAATATTTAAAGTGCATACTTCAAATGAATTTTATTTTAGGTTGTTAACCCAAACACACTCCAAAAAAATTTTGAAATATAAAAATATTAACTTTTATTTTAAATACAATATTACGCATTTCACATATGATCTCCTCAAATATGTTTAGCCTAAATAATTGCATAAAAAATATTATAACATGCTTACCCTTAATGTTTTTAAAAAAACTTCATTTTCGCATTTGGTATTTTCCTGATGTTCAAACATAATTTAATAAATATAGTTTAAAAAAATTAATTGTTTTTAATAAATAGTTTACGTTGAACCAATTGAAAAACACAAAACCTTATACAGAAGGTACTGCAACTATCTGAAACAAGGCCAACTCCAGTATGCATTAAATTTCTAAAATAAAAGTAATAAAATTTTAATTATTATAGGAAAGTTGAAATTAAGTTAAAATTCTTAGGATTTCAATATTCAAGTCTAGTTACTAGTATTATAGTCACATAGTATTATAGTCACACTGCTAGTAGTATAGTCACATAGTAAGTGACTCAAAATCTAAATATATATACTTATGATTATGAATAATAAAACTGAGCCCTCCTTTTATTTAAAAACAAAAATTTACTCTACCCTGAACAAATTTTGGTTTAATTTCAAGAGGCTATTTAATGTTTTTAAAAGGGCCTAACTTTACCCTTAAAATAATGATAAATATAAGTACTTATATTTCTAGTGAAATTATAGTGACAAATTTGAAATTTATGAATAGCATCAATATTATATTATTGATCCTATTCATAAATTTCAAATTTGTCTGAACCTAAAACAAAAATATGTTAATCAAACCGAAAAATTTGTTTTTGAAGTAAAACAATACTATTAATTTCAATTATGTAGAAAAATCATTTTCCTATATTTAAAAAAAAAATTAAAATTAGAATTCCAAATAAATAATGCATATTTGAATAAATTAATTTTCAATGAAATTTGATTAAAATCATATAAGAAACAAAATTAAATTCCAGTAATTGAATGAATTTTCAAATAAATTTCAAATATTTTATAGATTTATATCATATACATATGTATATGTATTTCGTTATATATTTATATATAAACGTACAATATAATATATTAGTAGAGTTTTTGCACTACATGTACATATTATATGCATGTTAAATTAAATGAATTAAGTGAGATATTAACATGTTTGCTCTTTGACAACAATTTTATATTTTCATATCATACTATTTAATATTACTATATAGTATATATATATATGGTATGTATAAGTAATTATATGCCTGGATTTATGTATGATTGTTATAGAAAGTTTATATATTAAACACAAAATTCTCAATTTTCATATAAGGTTGAGGTCAATTAAATTAACCGATTCACAAATTAAATAAAAAAAAGTAACCTATTTATTAAAAAACTTGAACTTTTGGCAGCTGAAAACAACTATATCAAGATAATATACAAATATATCAAAACTAAATTTTTAAATTTAAACATTTAATAAAGAAATTATTACATATATATACTGCCTCATATAAACGTAAACATGTATATATCATTCAATAAATTGTTCGTTGTCATTATTCTTTTGAAAATTCTATACATAAAATATTTGTAATTTAAAGCAAAAATTGGAGTTATTCCTCCCATTAAAAAATAAAACAATATTTTAAGGTTTGTATACTTACAATACTAAAATAGTTTTACAATGCACGCAGTACTGAGAATATTTTACATGGACATGTTCAACTCGAAAGAATATGTAAATTTTTTAATTACTTTTAGTTTAGTTAAAACTTCATCAAAATATTTTTGCAGTACTTAGTAGATGCAGCTGGTAATTCATATTCAAGACAAACCTTCAATTCGCTTTGTACAAATGGTAACATAAATTTAGCAAAAACTTCTAAATAAAATTAATATTTATTGAAAATATTGATATTTTTTTTAATTTCAATATTTTTTAAATATTTTAAAAGAAATGAAAATTTTTTAAATTATAAATGTTTATATAGTTTCCGCTCTATACGCGTACGCTAATTTTCTTTTGAAGCTTCTACTTTAAAAATGTTTGCAAAATTCAAACAACCTATTAAATAATTATTGAAAAATAAAAAAATTAATATTTACAAATATTTCGAATATTAAACAGCAAAATCTTCAATAATAAATATTATACACATACGCTTCAAATACATATATGTACATATATAATATTTTTAATAAAATTTGTTTTATACAAAAAAATCCTAGTTTTTCAATGAAATTTAGAAAAAAAAAAACAGAAATTAAATTAACATAAAAATTTATGTATTGCAAAAATTTTATTTTATATCTACTATATACCCCGTTATTATTTATTTAACCTAAAAATTTCGATCAAATAAACGCTTTTAAATACTAAATGCTGAATTAAATACTAATGAATGAAAGCAAGCTCTATTTTTTTTTCCAATAAAAGCATGAGACAGGAACCAACATTTTATGTTCTTGAAATTTTTTTTATAGTTTTTGCAAAAAAAAAAACAAAATCTCAATTGCAGCCATTGCTTGTATCCGATCGCCGTAACGTAACTGAACAATGAATCATTCAATATTTCAAAGTAAATTTAAAAATTAAAATATTTTAAATAGTAAACTTTAAACATAATTTTCAAAAGGGAGGAAATATGAGTATAACAAGTTAACAATGTAGCAAAGTAAGTAGTTTACTCTGCACACTCTGCCATGTCAATTAATACATGTAAATTTAAAACAAATTTTGTTACAATATCGAAATTTCATATTGAATGACTTATAAATAATTTAATTTTTAAGAATTTTGTGTAAATTAAATTAAAATTTCTGATAAGGCTTACTATAGAACGTAAGGATTTTCAAAAAGCTTCCACATAATCGACTAAATATTAGGAAGTAAAACAGGTCAAACAAAAAAACCCCCGTTCATGCATAATTGAAAACTCATTTCTCAAAATTCATAAGATTCGTTCGAAACTTTTACTTACTTTTTTCTTTTATTTAAGGCATTTTGAATCAGATATTCAAGCTACATCACAGAATAATGCAATTTCAAGTCTTCTATAGCAAATATGGCATTTTCACTTATTTTTTTTTTGTTCTTTCTTAAATTTTCGAAGAAATGCCAAAAAAAAAAACAAAACATCTCTCAATTGCAAAGAATTTAACATGACAATTTTACAGTTTAAAATAAAATTTCCTTTTTCAATTCAACTAACACAATTTCTATTATAAATCTACAAAACGAATACAACTAAAAAATAAATATGTAATATTATAATAATAAAAATAATAATGCAAGAAGAAATATAAACAGTAATACACTTGCACAAATACAACGAAAAAATTTAAACAAAAATGTGGTTAACAATAAAAAACATATAAAACAAAGAAACAAACAACAAAACAAAAAACTTATTGCAAACTCGAATAATTCAAATAGAATTTCAGAATAGAAAAGTAATTGCACAATGTTGTAAAATAATTACAGTTATTCAACATTTCAATTCAAATAACTACTCTTTCTTTTTTTATCCTTTCTATCCTTTCGTACCTAACACATTATTGCAATAGCAGATACTATTGCAAAGTTATAAATATTATATACATACGTGCTTACGTAAAAAGTTTGATTTTTGTATAACAAAAAAAAAATTGAAGTTTGTATGGCAGTATATTCAAGTTATAAGGATAAACATAACCTAGGTACATAATACGTTAGTATGCATACAGAAATCACTAACACAAAAACTTAAAGACCTAGATTGCACCACATCAAAATCACTGTAACATTTTGCAAACATATAAAACAATAAATAAGGAGAAAAAAAAATTAAAAAGAAATAAAAGCAAAAAAAAATAACAATAAAAAGAATATAAAAAACCCTAAGGCAATTGTAAACATTGGAATTGTTCTGTCCAATCCTATTAATATCAACGGGTTAGATATTTTTCTTTCATCTTTTTTTTTTTTCATTTTCCTGAAGTGTTTGCAATATTCGAAAAATAGTTTATTTTTACAGGTTACTACATTTTAGGTACCTTTCTTAATTCTATTTTTTATTTTTTAAATATTTTGTAAATTCCTGTATAAATTTGGTTTTAGGCGGTAACTGACAAAATAGTGAATTATAAAAATTTTGGAAATATAATGCAAAAGCTAGATATACCTGAAATAACTATATATTTCCGCTAGTGATGCAATTATATGTTGAAAGGACTTTATTCTCTAACCGATACACTTTGCTTGAATGGAAATGGCTTCAAGGTTTTGAGAAAAACTCAGTAACTGCATCTTTAAAAATGTGACTTTTAAAACTGAGATGACCTATTTAATATTAAGAATATTTTCTTTAAGTGTGCTTAGATTTTTTAATATTTGAACTTTGCATATGAATTTTGAATTACGAGCTAAAATCATATTTTAGCTCGTTAATTTAGGAGCACTATTGAATTATGCATCAAAAATATTTTTCTCTGATTACCTACGTGAATGAAAATAAATAATTTAAAATATGAATATGAAGCGAATGATTTTTAAAGTCCCCTTAGAAATAAGAGCATTTCCCAAAAATTATGTAACACTATTGAACAATTCAAACAAGCTTTACATGAAACAAAACTATGAGCAACAATAGACCACAAAATTTAACAAATATCATTCCCTACCTAATGTATGTTCTAAAATACAATATCTCTAACTTTACAATTAACAAAGTGGTCAAATCTACTATACGTTTTCTACACGGAAATAAATTATACGTACATATATTTCGTATTCATTCATCCACATTAGGGATTGCATTATCGGTTAACGATTAACCGATTAACCGATAAATCGTCGAAAAATTGACGATAAATATTATCGATAATTTTTTTTAAATTTACCGATAATTCCGATAAATTAAGTTTTATACAACATTAAATATTATACAACAACATCAACTGATAAAATGACGAAAATCAATCAAATCTTGGTTGCTTTGGAATTTTGAAGATTCAAATTGAGAAACGCATTATTAAAGACATACTGTCCTTATGTGAAAGACAAAAGCAAATAGTATGCGACAAAGAACTGTTTTTCAGTTATTATATTTGTACTATTTTCTTCAATCTCTTTCTAAAAACTATCTCTTTTGTTCTGAAAGTTCAAAAGAAACAAATGGTAAAGAACTTATGAAAATTATTAAGAGGGTAATGGTTCATTATGAAGATATTGGGGTACGTGGAGTATATCTGGAAATGGTATATAAATATTAAGAAACAATTAAACCGACCAGTGTAGAAGCCGAAAGAGCTTTTTCATCGGCCGGTTTATTTTGTACTAAAATTAGATCTAGATTAAGCGATTATACATT